AATACCACAAAATGGAAAACTGAACTAAATGTTTTCCAAACTTAAGGTTTTAATGTAATGAAAGAAAGCTTCTAATGGCCCAAAATTCAAACTGGAAAGTACAGTCATTCTTATTTATTCCTGTGTATCATCAACATGGAAGAAATAATAAATGGCATAAAGGACTGAAGACCTGAAAACAGGGTAAACATCAATATTGTCAGATGCTAAGGAGTGCGACTTCACCAATGAATGCTCTCATCGTCCGTAGCCTGTCTGGGTGCTTGCCTGAGCAGTTAATGGCTGTGCATGGATCATGGATAGCAGGAGAGGCAGGTGGAGATCTGCACCCTCAGCTCTGGCTCTCAGGCCATGCCGGGTCCGGCGGCAGCTCGGCCACGCAGCTCCCACGCAAAGGCGGCACCTGCGAGGCCGGGAGCGCGCTGCACCCCAGGGTGGGATTCTGCCCAGATGGGTGGCTCAAGGTTTCTGTAAACCATTTTCACATTGTTAGTTTTAATGAGGCAGTACCCCCTGCATGTCTTCACACAGCCCTGCCCTTTCTGCCCTCTTGGAGCACAGCATTTCAGGCTCTCAACCAGGCAACACTCTGTAGCTAATGCTTCTTCTATATCCCTCATCCCGAGCAGATCCAGGACTCCAGCATGGCTCTCACAGAAGCAGATGGCCTACCAAAGGGCTAGTGTGAAATGCTAATGGTCGTGTTTCTTGAACAAACACCAGTGAAAGGAAGTAAAAACAAAACAAAACAAAACAAAAAAACACCCAAAAAACCACCAACCCCAAAACCCAAAGACTCTGGCTTAACACTAACATTGAACAGAAGCAGCATCTGATCAAAACATATCTAGAATAGGAAAGAAAGGTAACACTGACTGAAGCATGTGCTGAGCAGTTCAAAAAGCCACTGTGAAACAACTAAACGGTGTGCAATCTGAATATTGTCATCTGAATATTGTCATCATTGTGATGCAGCAAACAATGAAATAAACCCACTGCATCAAAACAAAATAAGAACCAAATAATCATACTATGTAGTTAACCCCTAGTTTTAATCTAATGATATTTGTGGTAGAAAGCGTAGGTATTCTCTGAAAGAGAGAGCAGTATACATTTTTCTCCTTTCTTTCCTCTGTGTAGATGAGTGCTTTGAACAGTAAACCTTAGAGTCGTGTTCCTTCTTGCTTCCTCCTATCTTAGTTTCCTTTCTGCAAACCCCATCCAGGACTTGGAGAAATAAAAAGGTCATAAGCACCAAGACTGAGGACAGAACTTCACAGCTTGAAAAGATGAAAAGTCCTTTCTTACATCTTTAACTGAAAGCATAATTGTAAATTTATCTTCCAAAATGTTAAAGGGAAAATGCGGTGTGGTTTTTTTTTTTTTTCTTGCATAGGTTTTCCTACATCTGAAGACATTTTTTCCTCTCACTACATGTTCAAAAGTAGAAAGACAAGGGAAAAAAGCCCAACTACTATTTTTTTTACTAGCATTTGCATTCCATTGACAATATTTGCATTGGGCATGTGTAGACATCTCCTTTTTTTTAGTTTCCCAGTTTTCAGAGCAACCACATTCAGCTGTTGCATCAGTTCAAGACTAGGTGAAAAAGATAACTAAAATCTGAAAAGATTTTTTTCCTCACTTGATTAGATTAACTATTTAGCTAATCTAATTGATACAAAAGTATTCAACTCTTCCCCCCCTAATTTCCTACATTCTGCTAAAGAAATTTGTAGTGGTAGTAGGTGAAAATGATTTCATTCTGAATGCATGAGTGTAACTTCAATAATATAGTAACATTAATTTTTAAGAATAGCTGTATTAAATTTAAAGCTAAGTACTTTATAGTTCTAATATGTTTAATAAAAGTAGTTCAAATAATTACAAAAAATCTAATGGATTAATATTTGCTTCCATATATGCTTCTGGAATTGAATATTACAACAGAATTAATATTAAATTGGATTTTATATATTATTCAAGACAAGTCTTTGTCTCTGGCCCTTTTGACTAGATAGCAAGAAAGCTGTGGCTGGATGCTGTTTCCTCTTGGAGGGTTACAGCATAAACAAGGATCTGGTCACAGTGATTAAAGGGATTGTGAAAGTTACAAGAAACTTTGCAATCAGGCATGAAATTAATTGGTAGATCAGCTACACACTGACTCCATAGGAGAGCAGAAGTCAACTTCTAGCAGCAAAACAAAAATCAGCTAGCTCTGGGAACTACATCCTGGTGATTCCAATAGCAGTTGTTTCTGGAACAGAAGCAATTACTGCCAAGAGGGGCAAAAGAAGACCTGGACCCAAAAGTTTGGCCTCCTGTTCATATCAAACACTGGGATGGCATGCACTGAGCAGGGTCAGGGGGAAGAAACATTATTCCTTCCATTCACAGACAGACAGCACAGAGCCTGTGGGAGAAACTGTCCACTTCTGCTCCTAGTGAGCGCAGCAGAAGCAGCTGCTTTTAGTAGCCAAACTAAATGCAGACTGGCATTGTGCCACAGACATCTCCTAAATGACTTTCTTAGGCAGGGACAGAAAACAAACCCAGTCAGATGGCCTCCAAAGCCACTGCCTTAACCACAGCTCCCTTTCCATTGCCCAAGTCTGCTGCCTCCTGCTGCTCCTCTCCCTCCTTGGCCATGCTGGCAGAGGGGATTCGCACAAGAGATGTAAAAATGTACTTTGTTAAAAGACCGTGCTGTGCAGTTCTGTTTTCCTTGCTTGTGGATCACTGGAGTGTTCAAAATTCTGCTTTTATCAGATTCAATCATCCTCTGTTAAACTCAGCAGAATTCCTCTAAACTACAGAATGACATTTCCTATCAGTTTCTTTATGTTTCACTAAAATAGTATAGCTACTGTATGAAACCTGCAATTGGAGATTATTGAGGCACATCCCCAGAAGCCAATTAGAGAAAATACCACACTTGGCGATCTCTTTTGGATATAAAGAGGGACTGGTTCTGCCATCTTGCTTTAGTGGGGTTAAATATACATCAATATACATATAGGAGACACTCATGGCTGTAACAATAACAGATCTGAGTGATAAGCACTACAATTCAACAATATAGCACCACTGTAATTTTCTGAACTATGGATGAAAAACATCAAAGAGCATATTTGCACTCTATTATGAAATAATTAATACATATAATTCATTTCACATCTCACAGCTAGAATAGTGCCTGTCAGAAGATGCACTTTGATTTTTAAGTGCAAAATCCACATTTTTTCCTTGTGTGCCTTTTAGGCATACCAAGCCATAGCACAGGGTCCACTGGGAGCTATGTTGTTCTAAGAGAATCATGCAAAAAGCAAATATTTGTGTCTTGGAGGGTGTGGGGGTAGGAATGGGGTTTGGATTTCCTTCTCACCATTCTAGGTCTGATCACTTGAAGTAAAATAAACCAGAGCTATATCCTTGTGTTTCCTTGCCCTCTCTTGATAGGGTTGAAACAGGGATGGAAATGCAAATGTTTCTGATTTTTCTGCTGCTTACATAGACCCTGAGGTGGCTAACAGCTGGAATCTGAGATTCTTTTTTTATTTGAGTAAATGACAGTAAAGAGAGCCAGACTAGACACTTGCTCTGACTCTTTGCACTGTTCAGAAGATCCCTGTAGGTGGCTAGGTCCATAATCACTGCAGTGTAAAGGGTACCAGCCTATTTCATGAGCCTTAACTCCTCTTGGCACCACCACTACAGCATCCTCTTGGAGACTTGTGGCAACCAGAGAATGCGAGTAGTTGATCTGGTCAGGGATACTGAAACAGCTTTCCTTGCACCTTCCCTCCTCCTCAGTACTTGAAACACAGAAACTCCCATGTTTCAGACTAAGCTTTATGATAATTAAAGCACCTAGACAAATACAATATTTAAAGTCCACATTTATAAAGAAAAACATGATTGTCGTATACAGACAATCTTGAATACATGGTACTCAACCAGCATTTCTGTTTCTCTGCACTTAAATGTGTTGGTCATAAAACCTCTACAAGAGAGAGGATACAGGTGCTATAGATGATTTGCCTGTATAGACAGGAATAGGCAGGAGCCTGCACATTATATTTATTGGCTTGGCTGTTTATCCTTTAGGCTAAGGTCGTGTGCATTAACCTAACCACTTCCTAGGTTTATTTTAAAAGGAAAAATAAAACACACGCCTAGAAATGCTAAAATGTAAATGATTCCAGGTGTGGTGTTCAGTGATCAGTCAGTTAGGCTCTTGTTAAATATTTTGTAAGAGATTTAACTTTGTTTCTGCGAGGCATTGGTGGCTGAGCCATCTGCAGAAGTGCAGCTCTGAAGCGGATGAGATCTGCACAAATGGCAGCTGAGAAAGTGGCTTCACATGGCACTGGTACAACACACGTTCAGCCTGGTACAACACACGTTCACATGCTGTTATCAGGAGCAGCTCTGGCTCTGCAAGGGAGGGCAAACCAGGGGACTGGAGCAGGGACTGGAGTCAACACAGGCACCAGCAAGGGACACAGGCCTAGGTCATGTTGAGAGGAGAGTACTGCAAAGCCTTGGAGGACAGGGCCGTGAAGAGAGCAAAAAAGGGTATGTCAGAGAAGAGCTATAAAGAACATTAAGCAAATCAGGGCAAGCCACACCTCTTTCCTTTCCCTGAGCCTCTTTGGTAGTGCTCAGCTGTGTGACAGTGATGGCTCAGCAACAGCAACCCCTTGGTAGAGGGCTGCAGTGTAAAAGTAGGGCAAGAAACCAGAGGAGCCTGTTCGTACTAGGGAGAATCCTTGAGTTATTTGCAGTAGAAAGGTAGATGCTTTCAAGATGAACACATAGAAAGAAAACATAGGAATTAAGTGAAAAAATTGGAACGAACATATCTGAAAGGAGTGGTAATTGCAGTACGTATTGAGAAATCTTTTAATGGATATTTCCTTAATTTGTTTTTGCAGGCTTGGACTAGACATTTAAAGGTTATTTAACAGCAGTAAAATATAATGTATACAACTAACCTCATATTGTATATGTGGAGAGTAGGTTGGCAAATGGTCATAGTTCCAGTCTTCTGCCTGTGTTGTTGGCTCAGAGACAGCTTCTAATTGGTCGTGTTACGCATCAGTTGCATAAGCATCATCACATAAGAAAAACTGCACCTGAATGTTGTAGAAAGAGAGAGTGAGACATGGCAAAAATCACTAGAAAGAGCAAGCATTTTAGAGAAGGCAAAATCACGGGGTCCACAAGAGCATGAATTATAGTGACATTTTATTTTCTTTGTATAAATGACTTTTAGACTAAGGCACTTGTATCAGTTTTCCCAGAGCTGTATTAATTTTCCAGTTCTGTCACCAGCTTCCAAGGTACCTTTGAAAACCACTTACTCTTTGAGAATATATAAAATATATGTTACTGGTTTCTAGAAATAAAAATGAGATCATCAGAGTCCTCTCCTCCCAAATCCAAACTCCATGACCTTCCTGGAAGTAAAGCTCTTTTTGAGATTTCAGTATTCTGAAAATTGCTGAGCACTGCCTAAAATCCACCCTGTCTTCTCCTCACCTGGGGCCATCTCTTTCCACCCAGCTCACAGCAACATGAGGACAGTGCTTGTACACTAGTTTGCTACGTTCACTGTGGTGGACAGAGCCTCACAGATACCCTCTAAATAAAAAGGTTGAAAACAAGTTGCATTTCCATAGGTGTGGCTAAGGCATATAGCATAAACAGACCTCATTTTTGTCTGCTTTTCTTTTATCCCTAGGAAAAATACTGCCAGGTTATATTTAGCATTCTGAACCAGTCATGAGAAGAGGACTGGGCGGGGCTCGTGGTTTTTTCAAGCAATCATCGGATCATACCATCTTGGACAACTCATTTATTCTGTGTATAGAGAATTCTCTGGGCTTGCTTCTATTTAGAGGTCAGTAGAATTTCCTTTTCTCTGCTCCCCAAGACAAAAAACCTTACCTAGTGTGACACCCAGACTCAGCCAGGACAAAGTGTGCCTGGCAGGTCTTTTGTTCTCACCTCCCAGGCCAGAGCTCCTGCACAGCCAGTTCTTCAGACAACGAAGATCAAAAGTTTGGCACAAGCTCTTTCCCATTTTAACTACTCTCCAGCACACCCAGACAACCATATAGGAAGCAGATACGCGGTTTGTCCCTAGACAGTGCATCAGGACTGTTGCCCATGGGCAAGGGAGCTACAGGGGAAGCACAATGACACCAGGTGACCCTTCCAGGGTGAGGTGGGTCAAAGGGCACCCAGAGCAGCACTTACAAGCCAAATTTATTCAGGAACCCTTAATAACATTATTTAAATGTAGAGTTAATGCCAAAAAAAAAGGCCTAGGGATACATCCCATACACTGAGATACACTCAGGCTTGCAACCCTCTAAAGGGGATTCCTCACTGTTTATATCAGCATATTTTTCCCAGCAGATGGGCCATCATTGCTATAGTTTAAGGGATTCACCTGTAAAACCAAAACAAAGCCTGTTAAGGGATTAGAGAGCTTCAAGAACAGAGAAAAGAGCAGCTGTTTCTCTTTGTAGGTCAAGATGAGAAACATATTTTTACTTTCAGGAAATGAGTTTAATTTCTAAATACCAAGGAAGAGTATGAATCCTTTTGTGACCAAAAGTAGGGTAAATATCTTTCTGATGTGGTATATTGGTAGCAATATACCAAAGGTATATTGGTATACTGGTAGAGGTAGTCTCAATTATCAGTACAGGGCCATCTTAATTTTCTTTCTTGGAGCAAAAAAGAACTTAATTATCTGTAGTTGAGGTGGAATTTCTTGTAATAGACATCAATAACTACTACACAAACAGGCCAAAAAATAATGAATCTTGGGGAATGGGTTGAAATAGTGAGATACATCATGAAATGTGATTAATGAAACCAAGGGAAATATAAAATAACATGTTTCCCTGGAAATGGACTGTAAGTGCACAATGTCTGCACAATATTGTACATCTGCAGTTCTCTGTCCTGCTACCTAATATCCAAATTGTCTGCCAGTATAAACACAGCTGCTAAATGTCTTCTACAACTGCAAAAATAACAAATCTCCACTATTCTCCCAGCTATTGAAGTCTATTTTTACAGAGACAAATGCAATGTTTACTCTTGTTCAACAGGAGAAAATGCCAATGCCCAACATATATGTCTTATTAACACACGTTGAGAGTCAAATATCATAGATCAAAGAAATGGGATGGTTGTTTTCTAGTATCTTGAGATGAGCTGAGATTTAATGGTTTTGGCCTGAGCAGTTTCTCATCTGGTTTCCGCATAGACATATGCCTACCCATCAACATAAAATCACCATTTTAGTTGGTTTTGACCATCACTACAACAGAATCTGGCAGGATTGTGAAGGATGAGAAATCTTCTTTTTGTAAACTCTGCTTTCCACATTGTGGATTGGCCTGCAGACTCTGCTGGGGAAGAGCTGTGCTCAGCTTCTCCCCAGCCTGGAGACATAGGTCTGCAGCAGCTGGGGGTGTGGGAGACTCTAAGTAACAATTTTCATGTTATAATACTAGCCTGGACTGTAAGAAGTAATTTAAGATAATTTACAAGGTTGCATTTACTGAAACAACTTCTTTTCAGAAAATATAACTAAGGAAAACCCGAGTAAAGGGAAAATGATAGTCAGGATTTTCAAACTGTACCCTGCTTGGACTTTGCATAGATGAAGAGAACATAAATGAGAAAAAGAGAATGAGAGAAAAAAAGAAAGAAAGAAGGCTCCATAAACCTAGGAAGGGTACCAATCCATTTATACACTTTCTGGAATGCTGAGAACATTTAGTCTTACTGGCCACAAGAAACGACTTTTGTTGTGCAAAAGGTTTCACACATGGACTGAAGCCAGAAGTTTTTTCATGGCCCTGTGGGAAGAAAAAAACATTACTGTACAGTTTGGTGAACTACAGACAGAAATTGGTCTGTAGGCCTGCCTGGTAAAACTTTATGAAGACACTGTCATTCCTCTCAGCCTCCTTCAAATCACAGGCTTGAAATGTACTTCTTCTGTTGCAAGAACAGAAAACTGGCACCTAATCATGATTAGGCAAGTAAGCAAGGTACTACTGCTATTCTTGATTAACTAAAAACTATGAACACACTTGTTTTTTGGCAGTTTGTCTCTCCCAACCTATATTCCACTTTTATCTTATTCATCTGTTAAACCATCAGCTGGCATTCTGTAGGGGAAGGAATATGCTTTTCTCTAGGCATGTACAAGAACTAGCTTCAGTCCACTTTTCCCCTGGCTGCAATAGAAATGCCAAGGACACTAACCAAAGCATAAATGTGAAGGTTATAATTTTTATCCTGTGAGAAAGCAAGATATAGCATAAATTGTAATAAAATTATAGAAAAAAATTACATAAGCAGTCATTAACGACAAATTAGGAAGATTCAGTTGGTCAAACCATCATGATAAGGAGTAGGATACAACTTTAGTCCTTTGTTCAAAGTTCCAGTTGTCTTTCTCAATTTAAATTATTTCTTCCAGATATTTAATTGCGGATGTTTCCAACCTATTACTCTGCCAGGCAGAACACAGTTTTTGGATATTACTTTGCCAGTGATCCCCTGTGATCTGGAGCTGTGCTTGACAGAGTTCAAAGCTGTGATGTGGATCAGACTGTTATGTTGGGGAGAGGGGAGGTCTGAGACCTCTATAAACAATCTTTACAGCAGGTAAGTATTTCTGCACCCTTGCATCTGGATCATGGAATACTCTCTTTGACCATTAGAAGAAAACAAACTGAAGTGGAAACCCAGACTTTCCTGGTGCCAGACTGCAAAACATAATTGGATCTACAAACCCAGCTCTCCAAGCTAGTTAGGTATGAGTTTGAGCTCCAAGTCTTTGTATTTCTGTTTAATAGCTTCACATTTTAAGTAAAGGCTAGAGCAGAAACAAACAGTTGCTCCAGCTGAGAGGCTGTGTTTGCATGCTGTTCCCGTCCTCTGGGCTGGCCCCAAGGAGCAGAGCTCAGCAAGCACACAGCACTGCTCTTCCCAAGCAGCATGGCTTGGGATGCTGCCTCACAGGGGTGGGATAAGGTCACAGTGCTAGGTACAGCTGTCACTTGTGCTGCAGTTAAAGCAGGCTGATACCTTTAAAATCTATGAATTTCTTCTATCCCACAGTTATTCTGGCATAAATCACAACAGCCATTTGACTACAGCAGCAATATGGGAAGAGGTGGGCACAAAATACAATGAGGACAGACATGCTGAAGACAGTGTGTGATATTGTGCCCCAAAGGGACACAGGAGAGCACAGGAGACAAACATTATGGAGCTGAGTGTCCTTTTGGACATTCTGCCTGGAAAAGCAGCAATTGAGAAGTGGTCAAGACCAATAAAGAAATATAATTGTGCTCTCATGTTTTTTACACAAGAGGCATCCATATCAGATCATGAAAGAAGTGGGGAGGGTTGTCAGCCTCATTTATATTTCCCTTATTCACTCTGCTTTTAAAAAACCCACAAGTTTCCTACATTTATAAATCTGCTAAAACACACAGCATTTCACAAAAATAGACAAATATGATTGCAGACTCTAAAGGTAACAAAGATTGCTTGGATAAGGATGCTGGTCACTGGGAAGGCACCACTTACTATGAAAATGATGCAGAGGAAAAGCTTGCCAAATGCAATTGAAAAAATTAAGTGGCCTGATCATTACAAGAGATCAGTGTGTACATCCCAGCCACTTCAGTGTGAGTCACTCATAGGTAATAATGTCCTGTGATGGTTGGACCTGAGAGATTCTAAAGAACCATGAACAGAAAACCAAACCCTAGACCTAACTCTATATCCCTTGTAAGGCTACAGGAGAAAAACAAAACAAAATAGGAGAAGCAATTTTCAACAAAACTGTCCTCTTCCTGCCTTAACATCATTCTTGTTGCCAACAAAACAAATCCAAGTGATCACCACAAACACACACCTCTCAGGAAGTCTGCCTTCACTGCTGGCTTCAAACATTTGCTGGGTTTTTACAGTGCTGAAATTATTCCTGCATCAAATCATGGAATTACAGTGAGGCACCACCCTGTCTGTGGTTACAGGCTGCACAGACAAAGCCTTGAAGCAAATGCTGGGTGCTTCCTCTGGTGAAGCTGTCC